ATTATTTAATTTTAATTAAATAGTTTACAAAGCACATTTGTCCTAAAAATAGGCATAAATGTTTAGAGGGTAGAAGAAATTTTTGAAATGAACCCATTCCCAATTTTAATCCCCAAAATCACCATTTCCTAACTATTTTACCAAAATCGACTCATTTTTTCGTTACGTCAGCTTCGTGGCCAGAAAGTGTGTTGTTTAAAAAAAAACGTGATCCTAATTAGTCGGGGTTGTCAACTCTGGCTAATTAGAACCTCTCCCTAGCGCTCTCGCGGTTAGTTGACTAAATATTGCACAAAATGATCGGGTTTGGGAACCCCGACCATTCGAAACGCCAACTCGAAATGGTCAGGATTCTCAACCCCGATCATTTAGTAGAGAGTGGAACCAACATATGAAATAATCGGGGTTGCCACTCCCGGCTATTCAGCATAGACTCCCCAGCCCAAAAATCGGGAAGGGGCTAAGTGATGGAATAGTCCGAGTTGTCAACCTCGACTATTTGTGGTTGGTCCCGCCCCTCTATATATACTGGCCGAAATCTTCTCCCTAAAATTCTGATATCTCTCCTCTCCAACTCCGGTCTCTCTCGTTCAGCCGCCCACCCATCTCTCCCAAGTCCCAACCCCATTTTGCGGCCGTAATTCATCGTGAAAGTTTGCTTAAGATCTATAGGGTAATTTCTCTTCCTTCTCTCCTTTTTAATGTGACGCCCCTATTTTCACACATGGCTGCAGTCCAAGGTGAACCTAGAGACGTCAAACCTGCCATGCGCCCACACTGTGTAATAACACGTTTCACCAATCATAGTAATATCCTCTAATGGAAACAAAAATTAAGTGCATGTACAATACAGGCAAATAGAAGGAAATAAATACAATAGACATGATGTCGAAAGATAAATCTCATAAATAAAATCATGTCTCAAATGGATAAAACTGTGAAGACATCTAATCTCTGAAATGATATAAAATGTCTCGACATGAAATAATTGAAAATGTAATTAAAGCTCATAGCCTTTATAAAATGTGATATTGAAACTCTAATGTCTGAATAGAAATAAACTCTATTGTGGAGTCTCTACTGGTAACGCATGTGACGGGGACTATGCAATAACTCCGTCATCTTGCGACTCTCCGATGCTCTTAACTGCCTGAAAGGAAAATAAAATAAAATAAAAAGAACAACACCAAAAGCGTCAGAGCGCTAAAGCAAGATCATCTCCATCCGTCCTAGGGGAAGGGCTGCTACATGTAGTGGAGACTCTATCTATTAACCATAGTCTACCTAGATCATTTTCCCTATATCTAATGGTATTAATACTTAGAAATCTACAACACGAGACGTAGTACGTCGAGCGAAATAATCCAAATAAAGAAACCCTCATATATATACCATATGTCTCAAACTGTAGATATCTAGATATTTATCCTGAACTATGGAAAGAAACATCATTGGAAAAATAAAACACCATAGTGAAACATCAGCATATAAGTCTCATGTACTCACAAGAGTAAGAAATTCAAAAGTGTGACCTAAACACTTTTGGCATCCATCAAAACTCAGGTTATCAAGTAATTTTTCTCATTTGCAACTCTTTGCAAGATCCTGATCTCATCACATTATCATGCACAACGCACTACCCTGAAGGTATCCTAAGACAATGTACACAGCTCATTATTCTCATTGCGATCTCAGTGCGTAACATGAGTGCGGGATGACCTACCTTATAGGTATCCTGAAAGACGGCTCACAAGCCTCATCGCACTCTCGTGCGGACGGACTGCTAGACAAAGCATCCAAACCCAACTCAATGGCATGTACAAATGAAATATCGACGCACTACCCTACGTAGTACTGAACTGAGCTCATCAACAATAACCATCCTATGTATGAACTGTATAAATCTGCCATATCAACGCACTATCTCATATAGTACCGAGTTGGGCTCATTAACGATATCCGACATGTGTATAAACTACTCCAACTCAAGTGTAATCACTCAACACCTGTCAAATCCCCTTTGGGATACTCACGTGTGTACTACAACACTATTCATGTATATTCATGTTGATACGTATTCTATCATGCGATTCAAGCCCCACGATCGCATCTCGAATCAAAACAACACAATATTCAGGAAAAACAACCTTAGTAGTCGACTACACTGAGTCTACTTAGACTCTACAAAACATGAATCAATATTAGTAGTTGACTATACTGTACATTAGTCGACTACTCTGTAATCAGGCAGTTTCTGTAGAACAAACTGGATCTTAGTAGTCGACTACTACTCTTAGTAGTCGACTACTACTCTTAGTAGTCGACTACTACTCTTAGTAGTCGACTACTACTCTTAGTAGTCGACTACTAAGCAGAAACATCGACTACTACTCTTAGTAGTCGACTACTAAGCAGAAACATGCACACATTCGTGTACATATAACACTTAGCAATCATCACGTGTTTATCATATTTTAATACAGTACAAAGCAAGTAACTACAAATCAAAAGAATCATCTCCATGATTATTTAAACCCTTGATTCAATCAACTAGGTTTAGTCTTCTCATTAGTCAAGAAAAACACATAAACCCTAGTTATTGATTAAATTAACATGAACTTGCTTGCATATTAAGCTAGAAACTTATATAATTTTGTTTATTCACATTTATAGAACCATATATACCCCAAACCCAGGGTTTAATCAGACTTAATTAACATGTAAGCTCTTTATATCATAAGATTAGGGTTTTAAGCATGATTACACATAGAAAATAAGATACAAATGAAGATATGCACTCCCTAATGACCATGATCGCGTTTCTATTATAAACAGTAAGTAAAAATGTAGATCTAACATCAGGTTAAAGTTTTATATCAAAAATCCTCTTTTTATCATCTTAGACAGTTAGATCTAAGCATCAAAAATCCATATTACTCATTAAACCCAAGATCTACGCTATAGGTAAGGTTTAGATGCAGGAGATCTTGCCTCAAACACGATGTTGACCTCCTGAACATGTGTGCAAACTCCTTTCCTCAGCTACAGCCCTCGATCTCTCCCTTTGCTCGATGCCATGTCTCAAATGCCTCGAGGAACGCAAAAATCGGCTCTAAGGTTTAGGGGGAAGGAGGTGGCTGTAAACTCTGGTGAATTCCCTCAGGAATTAGGTTTTTTTATAGGTATATATACTTAGGTTATCAATTGGGCTCGAAACAAAACAAATTCGATCCGGAATCTATAACCTGACACGCCTAGGAAACTCCCGCTAGTCAACTACTAAGCTTAGTAGTCAACTACTAAGCTAAACTCAAGAGATTCTGAAAACAGTTTACGGGCTCAGTGTAGTCGACTACTAAGAGCACTAGTCAACTACACTGAGTCTGTTTGCCTATGCAAACTGATTCATTCCCATACTCGAAAATATGTACGTCGAATTGATCTTAAATCGGTTCCTAACATACTCAAACATCAAAATATGTTATTTATCATAATATAACATATTAAATATTATTTATCACATAATATTCAAATTTGTGGGGTTTACACCCCCCTAAAAGAATTTTTTCCTCAAAATTCCACAACCGTATTATAACAATATCTACACTTAACAGTCTAGAATGTGAGTGCTCCTACTTAACCCCTAACTAACCAGAACTAGTACGTCGGACGAAAAATCCAAACAAGAAACCCCCATGTATATACCATGTGTTCCAAGTGATTAGGAGTTAAGTATTAACACTCACATTCTAGTGTTAAATATAAATATGTCCATATTAATAATCATATATATAATCAAAGCATAATCAATTCAATCAAATTACCTGCTCAAACAGATGCGGGTAGTCGCGACGCATATCCTCCTCGCGCTCCTAAGAAGCTTCTTCGGCTCCTTTCCAGTTCCACTAAAATTAATCAAAGGTATCACTTTGTTTCTAAGATTCTTGTCTTCCTTGGCAAGAATACATACAAGAACCTCTATCGTGGTCAAGTCGTCATTAAGCTCAATCTCTGGTGCATCTAACACTCGCTGCTACTCCTCATCGCGCAAATGCTTCTTAAGCATAGAAACATGAAAAACATCATGTATGCTCGACATTGATGTGGGAAGTTTTAGCCGATACGAAATGGCTCCAATGCGCTCAATAATTCTGAACGGACCAACATACCTCGGGGCTAGCTTTCCCCGCCTACCAAATCGCTAAACTCCCTTCATCGGAGATACCTTCAGCAATACATAGTCCCCAATCTGGAACTCTAACGGTCGTCGCCTCTGGTCTGCATAACTTTTCTGATGACTCTGCACTGTAAGGATGTACTCCCGAATTATCGCTATCTTTTCTGTAGTCTGTCTCACAAGCTCCGATCTAAGTAATAAGCTATCATCCGGGTCTGTCCAATATATCGGCCTACAAGGCCTTCCGTACAATGCCTCGTACGTAGCTATACCATTTGTCGCTTAATAATTGTTGTTATAAGCAAACTCAATCAATGGGATGTTATGACGCCCCTGGGTTCACACAAGGCTGCAGTCCAAGGTGAAACCAGAGATGTCAAACCTGCTATGCACCCACCCTGTGCATAAACATATTTTACCAATCATAGTAATATCCTCTAGTAGAACCAAATAGAAGTGCA